TGACTTCACTCTGAGCATCAGTGGAGTTCAGGCTGAAGATTCAGGAGTTTATTACTGTCAGAGTTATCATTACATCAACAGTCAGTGGACGTTCACACAGTGAAAAAGCGTCGTACAAAAACCTCCTCAGTCAGACTGAACAGAAGCTGAACTGAGACTCACACTTCACTGAACACACTGTTGAAGCACACAGACACACACAAAGATAACTCACGGTGTTCACTGTTTCTCCTCCAGGTTTTGTCCTGAACACAAGACAACAGAACATGTGACTGAACAAAGACTCATCATTTGGCTTCATACAGTGTTTGAAGATGCAGCAGAACCTCCACATTCAGTGTGTGACAGTTGAAGCTGCTCCAACCATCACAACTTCAGTCTTGTCTTTGTTCTGCTGTGACAACAAAGACAACATGATCTGTGGCTGACAGATAAGGACTGAATCAGTTTCACACTGTGACACAGATGGAAATATTTCTGCAGCATGTGTTTCAGTAGATTCTAGTTGACAGCATTCATGTCTGCACTCTAGTTGGTCGTCATCGTCTCACAGTTTTCTACACAGAAGCACAATTTGACTCAACACAAACTCCTTGTTCCTCATCTCTGAAGCAGCACACTGAACACTGAATGATGCATCAGCTTTCTGAGCAGTTCTCAGCAGTTGTTGATAGATTTTCTTTGGGGAAACACATGACAGCTGAGCTGGTGAACAGATGAGACCTGAGAGCAGCCGTTCATTCAGGTGGAAGGTTGGAGTTTGGAGAAATCACATGTTTCAAGGGAGGGAATTCATAAAGTTTCACCAGGTCATCAGTGTGTAGAAGTTTCTATTGTGGTGAAGCTTTGCAGTGATGTGAAGGAAGCAGTGAAACGTCTGATGATGAATGAATCTATTGGAGGTCAGAAGGTCGTGTGAATCTTTGCACCAGTCGACCAGAGAACTCATGTGATGTGTTCAGGTGATGGACTGAAGGGATGGCAGCAGGTTTGTTACCCAGAAGACACCTGAGTTACACTTTGAACTCACTTCACAAGCGTTTTATAGAATTATCAAACTGGACAGGATTATATTTGATCATTTACAGATTTAGACTCTGAGGAAGCAGACGATGAAAATGAGACTAACTTTAACTATGAATCACTTCCTAACTGGCTGCATCAACCTGTGAACTAATACATGAACAGAAACAGTCTGCTCTGACGTTTCTGTCATTAAAGTTTGGAGTAAATTGTTTCCAGAATCACATGTGGTCTGTTTTCTAGATAACAGAAGATAAAACTGAGACGTGCTGTTTGTTCATCCTGCTGTTGGAATCTGTTCATCTCAGAAAACACTGCAACCAGCCTGAAGTTGTCACTGTGGAAAAACCCACAAGAAGGAAAAATGGAACAGTTGTGTTTCTGTGTTTTGGAGTTTGATGTTTGTGTGTCCAGTGTTGTCAGCAGGTAAAGTGTCTGGAGGAGCTAAACTCCAGGAAATAAAGAAAAGACGATGTGGGCTGTTCAATATGAATGGAAGCAGTAATTTGTCCATCAGTGAGGAGGAAACCTGGTGATGTGTTGAGGACGGCTGCAGCTGACTGACTCTGAGTGTTTGCATATGTGTCCTGCCTCTGTGCTCCCAGACGTTAAGAGGCCAGTGTTGATNCAGTGGCAAACACTATCTGCACTGGTACCAACAGAGAGATGGAGGAGTTCCTAAACTTCTCATATCCAGGGCTGATGAACGACAATCTGGGATTCCAGGACGTTTCACAGGCAGCGGATCAAACACTGACTTCACTCTGAGCATCAGTGGAGTTCAAGCTGAAGATGCTGCAGTTTATTACTGTCAGAGTTATCATGAAATCAACAGTCAGTATGTGTTCACACAGTGAAAAAGCGTCGTACAAAAACCTCCTCAGTCAGACTGAACAGAAGCTGAACTGAGACTGATTTAGTTCACTGAACACACACACACTCACTAAAGTGAACTGAACATGTCACTGTTCCAGCTGTGACCATCAATGAACATTTATCAAAACAAGTTCAGTGACTTACAACAATATCTGTAGAAAATCAAACTGTCTCTGTGTCAAGCGTTTCTCCCACTCACAATGACCAGCTACTGTCATTGGTGAATTGAGGATTTCACATGTGCAGCGTCCTGCTTGAAAAAGGATGATTTGTTCTCCAGCTTGAATTGAGGTCCACTCATTGACCAAACAGTTGCTTCTTTTTTTTCTTTCTTCTTTTATTTTGCAGTTGGCTGTTTAGTTCAGGAAGTCATAGCAAGGCAACAAGGTGACAAGGTGACAAGGTGTTCAGGTGAAAATCCAGCTGCCCCCCGGATCTTGTAGACGAATCAGTCCTACACAGGTGGCTGCAGATTCCTACACGTTTTTGAACAGAAATCCATGACGACTTCTTTGTCAGCGAGACTTCACTTAGTTCAGCACTTCCTCCTCAGGTGCTGTGTGCGTCCCTCTTTGTGCTCCAGGTAACAACCCTGCAGCCACAGATTGGTTCCGCTCAGCAGATTGTCACACCTGTGTGTGCCTGTTTACTCATCTTTATTTCAAGATTACAGCTTTTTTCTTTCACAGAAACTACAGTTTGACTTAACACTCTATCACAGTTTCTCATCATCTAATCATTTTCAATATAATCCCGTGTTTCTATGTAATTAGCGTCTCACTGAATAACAGCTTACTCAACTATGTCTTATGAAAGGGAAATATGAGGACACAGATCAGACTCAGCAGGTTTTAATGAAACCAACACATCCCTGAAATCTGAATAAATGTTGTTTAAAATATAAACATTTAGACAAAAGAATAATTCACTGTCTGGAATCACATAAAATATGCTTGATACATTATGACAACTTCTTCAACCATTTTGCATGTAAAGACTTGTGCGATGAACTAATGTGTAAATGTTGTGGGGGTGAGACTATTCAACAGAGACCCATTATAATACATTATGATCAACATGACATAAGCACTTGATAATGTAGGAAACAGCA